CGGGCTCCCGTTTGATCCTAAAACCTTGACGTCGTCCGCAAATACATACCTAGGTGATTCAAGGCGTTCAGGAAGATCATTGATGTAGAGCATGAAAAAGAGTGGACCTAGAACTGATCCTTGAGGAAAACCACTAGTAATATTTCCCACTGGCGAGTTTGTTTCTCCAAACCAAACCCGGAAAGTCCGATCAGTCAGGAAAGCTGTTAGCCTCTTGTGAATGTCAGCCCTTATCCCTAGAGCATCTATCTTAGCCGAAAGTAAGCAATGAAATACTGAGTCAAACGCCTTGCTAAAGTCCAGATAGCATACTTCCACTCCCATCCCTCATCCAATCTCGCTGTGACTTCATGAAAACTGTGAAACAGTTTGCTGAGACAGGATTTTCCCTGAAAGAATTCATGCTGTACCGCAATCAGCAAGCGGTGCTGAGTGAGGAATTTGCATAAGTGGGTTCTGATAATTCGCTCTAGCGCTTTGCACAAAATGCTTGTGAGATTAACTGGACGATAGTTTTCCATCTCTTGTTTCGGTCCTACCTTGTGTATGGCGACCACAGTTGCCGTTTTCCCAGTCCTGTGGTATTGTGCCCTGCTCTAGATTTCTGTTGTATAGTTGGCAGAGTGGGGCCCCTAGAACCTCAGCTATGTGTCTAACTACGGCTGGATGGATGTCGTCTGGGATAGCGGATTTGGTGGCGTTGAGCTCACTAATTGTTCTGCATACTTGTTCAAACCCCACCTGTAATTCGGGAATATCTGATCCAGTAGTGTGAAGATCTGGCAGTTCAGTATGGATTTGGCTCACCCTGTGTACGCTTTTGTAGTAGTCCTTGAATCCTTGGATTACTACTGATCCATCATCCGGTATCAGAGGTCCCACTTTCTGACTGAGCCCTACCTTGAATTGGACGTAGCGGTAGCATTCTTTTGGCTGATATTTTGCATAATTTTCCAGCTTGATCTCATATTAACGGTTGAGCTCCCTTTGAACTGCCACTGCTTTGTTCCAATCCTTGGTGTACTGCTACCAGGACCTGTGGCTACCCGTTGATCTATAGATGTGCCAGCTTCTATTTCTATGCTGAATCGCTCTCCTAATCACTGGGCTTCACCAAGGTGGTTGTTCTTCGCTGCCCTGGCTTTCAGGGGAGCCCATTTATCCTGCAAGAGCAAAATGTTTGCTTTGATCAGACTCCAATGATGATCGTTTTCGTGAATGGGAGCCCATGCCAGCTCCGCAGCTTGAGCCTCCAGCCTTGTCGCATCTATCATCCAGTAGTTCCTGGACATCCTAACAATGCTCCTACGGTGTATTAGACTTATTGCTGCGGTGATAACGACGTGGTCATTTTTACCCAGCGATGAATACAAAGTGATGTTGGTCAAATCCCTCCCCCTCATTGTAATTACTAGGCCTATCTTCATCTCTGTGTACCTCAACCAAATCGCAATTGAGTGACGCGTAGGCAAAATCAATACGAATCCAAAAACAAAACACGATTGATTCGTAGTGTTCTACGGTATTACATCAGAGAAATCATTTCAAAATGTACAATAGAGCAAACCTCAAATTTGTGGTCAAAAGCACTCCAGCAAGCAAGAGCCAAATATGTTGTCCAGAAATAGCCAAAATATCGTTCACGTTCTCTGATCACATCAAATTCAAATGTGGCGGGCTTCGAATCAACAGATGAAAAATAATGTGGGATGTTTTTGATTGAGAAAGGTCAATAGGGAAGCAGCACACGGATAGAGTTGCCACATAGAATCATCGTGTGTTTGGAAGGCGTTTCAAGAAATATCAACATGAAATACACTGGCCGCCAAAATCCTTCTTGCGCTTGTCTCACTCAAAGGGTTGGTTCACGTAATTGATTCTTGCTTACCTATCTACATATCTAGTTCCTGCTGTCAGTACTTTTAACTACAAACTGTTCAACCTTCGCTGCACTCCTCAATCTCGACCCCCGATGACTTGTACGTTCCTTCGTCAAGATCTGTTCTTTGCATCAGCAAGCTTGCAACCAGTCATACGAAAAAGACAACAGTGGGCAAATTGTCTATCATTATAGACAAAGTCTTGATGTGTTAACAGGGAATAAATGTGGACGGTGTGATTGTTGTTAGTGTTTACAAATGAAGTTATGTTTAGTATGCGAGTGACAATGTGTATGTGAATGAATGAGTGTTGTGAGGACATGGGCCACATATTCGAGATTCATGCTCTAAATTGTGTATCAACCAAAATAAATAGACAATTAATCACCAAAATGGATTAGAGAGGGCGCGTACTAAGGACGTGGAAGCACGGGTTCGTACAGGTGGGGTGAATAGCACTGGGGCGCAATTGATACACGAGGGCATGTAGGTCTATATACTAAATGGCGGGTCTGCACAAATTCATCAAGTACCTGCACGGTAGACATCCCTCCAATAAACGTACTCTTTGAATGCCGCACACCTGTTCACAGGCAGATGTTTTCAATTTTACTGTTCTTCCTAGTCCTTCTGGGTCCGTGTGGCTTTCTATGACTACACCCAGTGGCCAGTTGTCATGTTGAAGCTTTCGTCGCCCATAAGAACAACGTTTCTAACCTTCAGTGACCGTTCTCTATGCAACCAATTCTGTCGGGCTCGAAGGGTTGGCAGTCACTCTCTTGTCCAAAGCTTCCAAAACACCCATGTCAGGTAGTTTGCGTGATTCCAACCCGAAGTGTGCCAACCATTAATGGTTTTTGGTATATCGAAGCTAGCGGTCGGTTGTTGAACATTCTTTCCGCCTCTGCAAGGAATTTACTCGAAGTTTCGTCGTCTGAGGCCTGTTGTTCACATAATCCTGTTAATATTCTCCGTACCAACCGTATGAGCCGTTCCCAAACACCCCCTCGGTGACTGCTTTAAGTTGGGTTGATGTGCCTTTGGGTCCCAGATGCCGACTGCCGGTCTTGCAGGGCACATTTGTCTAACCGGGTCAACCAATTGTTTAGCATTTTTTCTGCATCGACGAAGTCGTATCCGTTGTTTGAAAACACATTCAATGGGTTGCCTCGTCTACCCACGAACCTCTTCCAGGTTTTAAAAAAGGAGTCGGTCTACATGCTGCGTACGGTCTCTGTATACAAATCTTGTGACTGTAGGCAGATCATCAGATCGTCGTCGCCTTTCGTCTGACCCAAGGTGGCCCAAAGTAGCTCACTCCAGTTTCGGTGAAGGGCCACCTTTTTAAGATCTGGGGAGAGATGCTAAGCCCAGCCCCAGCATGGAAGATAAACAAGATAAACAGCGTGGCCGGGTTTAGACACTCGAAGAACAAAGAGGCAACACAAAGAGCATCCGTCATTACGTTTAAGACTGGGTGATGGCTTGTGTCTACACAAAATTACAGAGCCTAATCAATAAAATCCTGGAACTGGAATTAATGACCGAACGAAGCTCCGTAGAACTGATTGCAATAACGAAGACCTGGTTGCACGTGGGTATAATACACTCCGAAGTTGCGATCCCCGGAATGCATATTTACAGAGAGAACAGTTCGAAAGATAAAGGCGGGGGAGTCTCACTTTACGTGCCTCACTGTCTTTAATCCGAACTGGTGACTGACCCAACCCTGAATGAATAACCTGAATTACTGTGCGTCTCCATCAAAACCAAGGGTCCACAAGCAAATTTAGTCGATGCAGTGTACCGACCTCTAAGCGCAATGCAATAGAGGATAACCAGATATTAGCTTGCTTGGGAAGGTCAACTGTGCTAGGCCACAACAACAGATTAATCATGGAGGACTTCAACTTCCCCTCGATTGACCTTTCGAGTCACTTAGCCCAGGGCCCTGTGGAATCCATGCAAGACCGCTCCTTGGAGGTGTATTTCGATTAGGATCTGGAGGAGCACGTAAACGGGCCTACCAGGTGGAGTCACGAGGGCACATTATCCAGACCGGACTTTGCATTATCCAATGACCCTTACGTGATTGACAACGTACTAGTGCATGGCCCTTTGGGAAAGAACGATCACAGTACCATAGGTTTTGAGTTCGTGATCAGAACCACTAGGAACATAAGTGAACAACTCCTAGGTTAAAACTTCTATAAGGCAGACTACATGGCACTCAACGGACACTTGGAAGAAGCACGCTGGATTTGGACATTGAACATTAAAACATTACAACCTGGAGGTCGGATCGGGACTTATAGGCATCGTTTGCATTTAAAAGGCACCAAATTGAACGGTGGCTGAGGATAAGGAAATAATGCGTGCGTTGCACGTTGATAATTCTTGAAATGCCTTCCAAACACACGATGATTCTATGTGGCAACTCTTTCCGTGTGCTGCTTTCCTATTGACCTTTCTCAATCAAAAATCCCCACATTATTTCTCATCTGTTGATTCGATTTGATGTGTGTAAGGGCAACAATCAGCGGACGGTCGGTGGCTTATGTGTTTGTTCTATTGTCTGCCATAATCCCTCTCTGTCTCCTCTTTCCTTCCACAGGCAGCCAGATCGCCTGCGTCGGGGCTGGCTATCAGCAATCACAGCCAGAAGAACCGAACTGTACACACAAACAATCACCAGTCCCCACAAATGATCCCCTTGTACAACCCCGAATGATGATTGATTGACTTGTACCAAATACACGCTATCCCACGGTCGTCTGTCTTCTCGCTCTCGTGTGTCGACCGAGAACGTGGTGTTTGCCGGTTGCCTTATTCGTATATTGAGTTGTAACTGCAACTATTGTGCTCACTGTTTCAGAGTCGTGCGGACCAACGCGACTTTCCAGACCTACTTCCTTTGCGCATTACAAATTTGGCGATGGGGATGGGATCGAAAATGTACAGTTCCGGTTCAGAGCAGTCGGAGATCGAAAAACTCACTCAGGATTTTCGCACTCGATTGACATATTTCCCCGTTCCAAATGGCAGCTTGCCATGCTTGGAACCCTCACCAGTGTTTGATGTAGGAGCAAACCTCCGGCGTTTCCGCCGGAAGATGTGTCGTTACTTGTCTTCACTATCGGGACGAGAGCATTCGGTCTTTGTTTTGGACAGAATCAGCGAAAGACTGCAAGACATTCTGGAGGAGGAAGGTATTGACGACAAATCGCCAGTAGAAGATATCTGGAAAGCCCTCGAAACATTCGCAGAGGAGCCAACCAATGCTGGCGTGCACAAACACACCTTTTGGCGGAGGGTCCAGATGGAAAATGAAACGGTCGGAGAGTACACCGCCGTCATCAGGGGGCTAGTCCACAAAGCTTTTGGCTCCAGATAGCGGGAGTCGTGCGAGGTGCTGACCATGGAGCGGCTACCAGACGGGTTGCGGAGTGAGGCTGCCCGACGGGACTTGGCTAGACATCCAGCGGCAAGTCTCTTGGAGGCAGTCAGTCGAGCACGGACGTTCGACACCCCGCGGACAACAGAAAGTCGCAATCCTGCCCGCTGCGTCCAGGAACACACAGCCCGAAGGACACCAGCCCGATCTTCGCCGGTGCCTTTGCACCAGTGGCGACCTGCCCCTTTTAACCGAGGCCAGTGGGGACCGAGACCTAGACCCAGTAACATGCCGCGAGCGCCGGAGCCCTATAGATCGATGAGAAATCAACACGGTGAGTCTCAAAGATTCTCTTCAGTTTTACCACCTGTGTGCATCTTTACCAATACTACCGTCATACCGCCGTTATTAACCGTAACTATTGGGGGTAAGAATGCCAAGGCCTTAGTCGACACGGGTGCAGCGTGCAGCTTGATCGTCCCCGAGCTATGCCGCAGTGGTATAGATACAGCCGGTGAATTGCGGTTGAAAGCGGTTAATGGGACGCCGTTACATGTATATGGTGTATCCGAAGTGAGCTCAACGATTGGTAGCGCGCGTATCACACACTCAATGTTAGTGTCCTCAGAAATCCCATACGATCTGATTTTGGGAATAGATTTTCTCCGGGCCTTCCAGTGCAGCATTGACTTGAGCCACGACGCACTGATACTCGGAGGGGAGCGAGTATTCCAAAGAGAGCACAATGAAGAGGAACCCGATTGGATGTTAGCAGTACACCCCGTAGATCTACAGGGCCAAATTTGCAGGCTTCTGAGCTGTGCCGACCCGGATACCTCGTCACATCAGATGGAGCGCGTACACGCATTAATAATCAAACACCGGGCTGCGTTCGCGTGGGAGGGCGTTCCTCTGGGCAGAACTCAGATCATCCAGCACGATATTAACACACAAGGTGCACCACCCATACGGCAAAACCCCAGGCGGGTACCAGTACAATATCGGACTGACTTGGGAAAGCTAATCCAGGAGATGCTGCAGGAAGAGATCATCAAGCCATCCCGATCACCATAGACGTCTCCAATGGTTATAGTTAACAAGAAAACTGGGGCGACACGACTGTGCGTGCATTACCGAAAAATAAATCAGGTTACACGCAAAGATGGATTCCCGCTACCGCGCATCGATGACACCCTAGAAGCCTTGGGGGGTGTAAAATATTTTAGCACGCTGGATCTGGCCTCGGGATATTGGCACGTGGAGATGCACCCAGATGACAAGGAAAAGACGGCCTTCTGCATCCCCTCTGGAATTTTTGAGTTTCAAACAATGCCATTTGGTCTAGCCAACGCACCAGCTACCTTCCAACGATTGATGGATATCGTCCTCGGTGAGTTAGTACCACAGAGGTGCTTGGTCTATTTGGATGACGTTATTGCACATGGTCGTACTGTAGATGAACACCTGAATAATCTAGAAGAAGTGCTACACGCCATCTAAAAGGCAGGACTGCGACTCAAATCCGAAAAATGCAAATTCCTACGCAGCGAAGTCAGGTTCTTGGGACATGTCATCAGTGGAAACGGCTTCCGGAATGATCCAGAAAAGACGGACGCCGTAGCTTCCTGGCCTGTACCCTCATCCGTCCTAGAGGTCCATCAATGTTTGCGACGTATCTCCTATTACCGTCAGTTCGTGGACGGATATGCAAGGATAGCATGTCCTCTCCATCGATTAGCGAAAAGGACAGGAAGGTTTTGTGGAGCGCCGAATGCCAACTGGCTTTTGAAGAGTTGAAAACGCGATTGATGCAAGCCCCGATTCTCAGCTTCCCTGATGTGGCCACCGACGCAGAACCCTTCATCGTGGATACCGACGCTAGTGATACCGGGATTGGGG